CAACCTGTATCCTTCTTTCAGCATTTTGTTATTTCCCTTCCCCTCCCCAAATTAGAGAAATGTATATAGAAGATGCAGGGCACCAGAATCAAATACAGTGCCAACAGTGGTTATACCATAGGGGGAAGAACATACAAAGGAAACAAAAAAGTCACATAGTACATTAAGAACAACAAAAAAAAAAAAACAGCAACAAAGAAAAAACCTCTTGTGTCCATATCTTGGGGTTCATTTCCCTGCATCATTTTATATGATCATATGTACATAGCTTCTGACCTTTTCTGCTTGTCTGGTAGGATTATCCTAGATGTATACTAGTTATTGCAAATAAGGGAAACCATGGGACCCATGTTTCTTTGATTCTGGCTTACTTCACTTAGTATAATTTCTTCCAAGTCTTTCCATTTCCTAACAAATGGGGCAGTGTCATTCTTCCTGATGGAGGCATAGAATTTGATGGAGGCATAGAATTCGATTATATATATATATATATAAATATAAAATATGATGTGATATATATATATCACATTTTCTAGATCCATTCATCTACTGAGGGACATCTGAGTTGGTTCCATATCTTAGCTATTGTGAATAATGCTAATAATAATAAACATAGTTATGCTGGTAGCTTTAGTATGGCCTTGTTTGTGATCATTTGGGTAAATGCTCAGAAGTGGGATTGCTGGGTCACAGAGGAGCTCTATGTGGAGTCTTCTGAGGAACCTCCATACAGCTTTCAAGAGTGGTTGAACAAGTTTACACTCCCACCAATAGTGCAGTAGGGTTCCCTTTTGGCCACATCCCCTCCGGCATCTATTATTGGATTTCTTGACTATAGCCATTCTAACTGGGGTAAAGTGGAATTTCAATGTTATTTTGATTTGCATTTCTTTTATGGCTAGAGAAGTTGAGCATTACTTCATGTGTTTATTGGCCATTCTAATTTCCTCTTCAGAGAAGTTTCTCTTTAAGTCTTTAGCCCACTTATTGATCAGGCAGTTGTTTCTTTGAAGATTGGTTATTGGGGGATGTAATTTTTTGAGTTCTATGTATATTTTAAATATGAGGCCCTTGTCTGTTGTAAGGCTAGTGAAGATCTTCTCCTAATCCATGATCTTGCTAGCTATATTCTTTACTATGCAGAAGCTCTGCAGTTTAATGCAATTCCATTTGTCCAACCTTTCTTTGATATGTTCTGTTTCTGGGCCTTTTTTTTGGTCGGCCGTGGGACTTGAACTCTGGGCTTGGGTGCTGTCCCTGCGCTCTTCAGCTCAAGGTGAGCACTCTACCGCTTGAGCCACAGTGCCACTTCCAGTTTTCTAGTGGTTTATTGGAGATAGTTTCACGGACTTTCCTGCCAGGGCTGGCTTTGATCCATGATCCTCAGATCTCAGCCTCCTGAGTAGCTAGGATTATAGGCGAGAGCCACCGGCACCCGGCTGTTTCTGGGTCTTTATTAAGAAAGTTTCTCGTATTCCTTCCTGTAATATTTTCAGGGTGTCTGTTAACCTTTTTTTTTTTTTTTTTTGGTCAGTCATGGGGCCTGAACTCTGCGCCTGGGCCCTATCCTTCAGCTCTTCAGCTCAAGGCTAGCACTCTACCACTTGAGCCACAGCACCACTTCTGGCTTTTTCTGTTTAGGAATGGAACCCAGGGCCTCATGTATGCAAGGCACGCATTCTACCACTGAGCCACCTTCCCAGCTCCTGTTAAGCCTACTTTGTATTTATTTTATTTTTACAAGAGTGGGTTTATTTTGAAATTGTAAAGATATATATTATTTTTATTACATGTAATAAACAACTTTAAGATATAAAGTTTTACACTTTTAAAGATAAAAAAGGTCTTAAAAATGCAGACATTTAAAGAAAACCAAGTAAGCTGAATGCACCCTGCAGCACAGATCTAGCTCTTAAATATTCACAACTCAAAAGCTGTTTTGGAAAGATGGAAAAACTGGGAAAATTATTTACAATTGGCAATGATTAGGAGCCTCCCTATGTTTGGAAACAGGTTAATGACACAGAGTGAATGCAGGACACCGGCAGGAACAGTATAGGTGGTGTGTGTGTTCACCAGTACAGGAGAAGGTCTTCAGCTCCATAGGGCTGGCTCTGGAGTGACTGACAGCTCTGTTGGGAACTGTGTACTTCAGACACAGCACGTCCATGAGCACTATCTCACACACAGTCTATCAGCATGCCAATGCTTCCGTACTGTAAAAGCACGCTAGGACACTCAGCTTAGGAGAGAAGAGCAGCACTTAAGAACAGCATCCCATGCATAGAGGATGTAGGACAGACTGTACCACATCATGGACAAGAACTGCAATATGCAGAATAACAAGGCCAGTCCCTTCTTGTGCCACCACAGAGCAGCATGCAGGATTAAGACGAGGCACAGAAGCATAACTGTTGCAAGCAACCTTGTGGTTTCAAACATCTTCTTCAGCTGCTTCATGGGTCCCATCAGAAAGCAAGTACTGGCTAATGCAGAAAGATTCCCAAGGGTGTAAAACACGGCAAAAAGCAATCCAGTTCCAAGGATAGAAAAGAAAATGCCAGCCACGAAGCATATCACAAAACACTTCAATGTGGGGCTGAAACTCAGGGATGTGGAGTCCAGGACCTGCGCGGTCAGGTCCAGCTCCTCATCGTCCTGGCTGCTCAGGACCCACCGAAGCTTCTCCATGGCCCCTTCCGCGGGCCGCCGGCCGCTGGTGCCCACCCGGAAGCCCCAAGCCTACTTTTTAAAGCCTACTTTTTTGTTGTCAGTTCATACATGTGATCTATTTAGAAGCTATTTTGAAAATACTATGCTAAGTGAGAGAAACCAAACATTAAGGATCACATACTGTATTTCACTTAAATGTCTAAACTAAGTAAATCTATAGAGTAGACTAATCATTATCGGGGAAAGAGGGAACTGGAAATGGAGACCCCGCTAGTGGGTGTTATTTCTTCGGGAATAAAAACAATCTAGAATTTAGTATGATGGTTATAAAACTATGTTAATATACTAAAAACTACTGCATTGTATCTGGAGGCAGTAAATATTATGAGATATGATTTCATGAGGCTGAGATCTGAGGATTGTGGTTCAAAGCCAACTCAGGCAGCAAAGTCCCTGGAATTCTTTTGTAATTAACCATCAAAAAGCTGGAAGAGGAACTAAGGTTCAAGTGATAGAGTGCTAGTCTTGAGAGAAAAAAAAAATCAAGGACAAGAACCAGGCTCTGAACTCAAGCTTCAGGACTAGCACGTGTGCACATGCATTTTGGAAAAAGAACTTCGGTGCCTTCCCTTTTTCTTAGGAGAGACTGCACTATTAGCGGCCAGGCATGTAGCTAACTAGGTAGCAAGGTCCTAAACTCACTCCTAGGAGAGGGGAGAGTAGAAGGGATAGAGGAGGAAAAGCACTGGAGGTTTAAACCCAGTGGTAGAGCACTTTCCATAGCATGGCATGAAATCTTGGATTGGATCTCAAACATCAAAAAAATAAAAGACTGCCCTAAGCCGGGCATTGGTGGCTCACACCTGTACTCCTAGCTACTCAGGAGGCTGAGATCTGAGGATCACAGTTCAAAGCCAGCCCGGGCAAGGAAAGTTTGTGAGACTCTTATCTCCAATAAGCCACCAGAAAACCGGGAGTGGCGCTGTGGTTCAAGTGGTAGAGTGCCAGCCTTGAGCTGAAGAGCTGAGGGACAGCGCCCAGGACCAGAGTTCAAGCCCCACAACCGACTATCTATTTATCTATCTAAATGCCCTAATCAATATGAACAACTGTTTGCTGCCTGCTATCACTCTCTGTTGGGTGATTGTTCCAGTTACAAATTGCTTTCTGGTCTACAAACCCACTAATATCATTGGTATTTCAGATGCTGTAAAATAAGTAGAAAGATAAGCTGCCAGCTGAGCCTTGCTGACCCAAGCCTATAATCCTAGCTACTTAGAAGCCTGAGACCTGAGGATCCACATAGGAAGCCAGACAAGGCAGGGAGCTGTGACTCAAGTGGCAGTGGCAGCCATGAGCGAAAAGGCTAAGGGACAGCTCCCTGGTCCTGAGTTCAAGCCCAGAATTGGCACCAAAACAGAAAAATGCTCATTCAAAGTCTGTATTCCAGGTAAAGAGTTACCTCTAGGCATGTCAAACTTTTAGTCCATATAACTCCCATTGCCCTGGAAGCCCTGCTTGTATCTGCTAAGTCTGGTAACTCTAGCTAGAAAAGATGTCCGTGTCGCGTCAAACCTGACCCCGCGCTCAGCAGCAGTCTGCCAGAACCAGGTGTTTCTGTCACTTTACCGAGCCGCCCTGACTTGCACAACTCAGTCTCTCTGGGCCTCACCTTCTGAAGCGAAGGGTGGGAGACCTACCTCCCAAGGCCGGGGCGGCTTAAACGAGCCTCCGTGCGTGGCAAAGCGCCCGCTAAGTGCAAGTTCCCGGATGTTGCCGCTTGACTAGCGGAGGCTCCGGGCTCTAACAGCCGGCCCCGCCTCAGCGGAACCCACCACACCTCTCCACACAGCGAGCAGCACCAACCCAACTACGAAGAGGAAACGAGCCACGCTCCCCACACCCCCCCACACCCCCCCCCGAGTAAAACTCGCAACCCGGGAGGAGCTCCCCCACAGGCACAGCGGAGGATCAGCTGCTCCGGGCGCGAGCGGAGCCTCCGCGGCTCCGTCAGGGAAGCCGGCCCGCCTTCCCCCGAGCGCAGCGGCGCAGAGCCGCGGCCGGCCCCGCCCACGCGCTTCCGGCGCGGCGAGCGTTCCGTCCCGCCCTCAGCCCGCACTTTCGACAAAACTTTGAAGAGTGGGGTGTCTGGTGCTCCCCCCTAACATCTCTGTGTCTCCTTCACCCTTCTCTCACCGCTGGAGGTAAGAATCAAGGTGCTAGAATGAAGCGACTGGCATGACGTGAAAGACGAGCAGGTGAGCGGGCCCGGCGAAAGTGCTCGGCGGAAGCGCCGCCCTCCTCGCCTCGCCGGCCGGAAGTCGCCGAGTCTGAATGGGTCCTCGAGCCGGGGGCCGCGGTGCCGGGGCCTCCGGTTGACAGAGTGGCGCCTCGGCCGCCGCTTTTGTGTGTCGCTGGGCCGCCAGGTTCATGTGGAGGCTCTCAGGCTTCCGCGCCGCGCTTCGTAGGGTCCGGAGGGCGGTGGAACAGTGCAGCCGGACCGAGGCGGCCGCCGACCCGGCGCGGGCAGCCATGGAGCGCGCTGTAGTGCGCTGCGTGCCCTCGGAGCCCAAGCTGAGCCTGTCGTTTGCGCTGGCCGACGGCAGCCACAAGAACATGCAACGGGACCAGAGCGAGCCGCTGGGCCGGGCCCTCAGCCGGATCGCCACCAACGCGCTCAAGGGCCACGCTAAGGCGGCTGCCGCCAAGAAGAGCCGGAAGAACCGGCCCGGCGCGAGCGGTGGGGCGGCCTGCGCCGGGAGCGTGTCGGAGCCGGCCGCGGCCTGCGAGCCGGTGGTGAAGCTCTACTACCGCGAGGAGGCCGTGGCCGAGGACGTGCTCAACGTGGACGCCTGGCAGGACGGCGCCGTGCTGCAGATCGGCGATGTCAAGTACAAGGTGGAGCGCAACCCGCCCGCCTTCACCGAGCTGCAGTTGCCGCGGTACATCATGGCGGGCTTCCCGGTGTGTCCCAAACTCACCCTGGAGTTTGGAGATCCTGCCGGGTCCCTGTTCCGCTGGTACAAGGAATCCAAACCCGGAGCGGCCGAGTCCGAGGGCAGCGGCTCCTCGTCGTTGTCTCCCGCCACTCCGCCCGCTACCTGGACCGAGACCGGTGTGGAGGAGCGCGTGTACACCCCGAGCAACGCTGACATCGGGCTGCGGCTGAAGCTGCGCTGCACGCCAGGCAACGGGCAGCGCTTCGGGCCGAGCCGGGAGTTGGAGAGCGTGTGCCCGGTGGAGGCCGGGCCCGGCACGTGCACTTTCGATCACCGGCATCTCTACACCAAGAAAGTGACCGAGGACGCGCTCATCCGCACGGTGTCCTACAACATCCTGGCCGACACGTACGCCCAAACTGAGTTCTCGCGGACTGTGCTGTACCCTTACTGTGCCCCCTACGCCCTGGAGCTCGACTACCGCCAGAACCTTATCCAGAAGGAGCTCACGGGCTACAACGCCGACCTCATCTGTCTGCAGGAGGTGGATCGGGCCGTGTTCTCGGACAGCCTGGTTCCCGCGCTCGAGGCCTTTGGGCTGGAGGGGGTGTTTCGAATCAAGCAACACGAAGGCCTGGCCACTTTCTACCGGAAGTCCAAGTTCAGCCTCCTTAGTCAGCACGACATTTCTTTCCAGGAAGCTCTAGAGTCAGATTCACTTCACAAAGAACTGCTGGGGAAACTAGCTTTGTACCCCTTGGCACAGGAGAGGGTGCTCCAGAGATCCTCGGTCCTCCAGGTGAGCCACCTGTGCCGACCTTCGCGTTCTCTCCCCTTTTTAAGGGCCTGGAAGGCGAGGTACAGGGATAGTGGTGAGGTTGTAATGGAAAACTGCCCACATTTCGTTCTTTCCTCTTGGATCTTGGGCACATGTGTCATTTTTCATTCATTTATTCAGCATACGTTGATTGCATGCCCCTATTATCCTTGCCACCTGGCAGATTGCTTTGAACCAGACAAAGGGACTTTTTACCTGCTTACAATCCAGGGAGAGACAATTGATAAATAAAAGATTATAATAGGTAAGGTATTTGGCTATTCATCAAACACTATTCTGACACATTTTAAAGTTCTTGAAAGAAGAGCTCAGTGCCTATTATGAGGTGTTTCCTAACTATTAGCTAAGTTTGATGCATTTAATCCTCCCCTAATCATTGTAATCCCATTTTATAGCTATTATTCTTTCCAGTTTATAAGTGAGAATGTCAGATTTCTTTACTTAGATTTTACGCACATATGAAGTTATTCTTAGCCAATGAACTGCTACATAGCTTAAAGCTACTTTGGTTTTTAAAACACATTCATTTTGTCCAGAGCTCTTAAGTAATTGGTTTTATTCAAGGTAAAATAACTACTGCCCCCCCACCCCGGTTTTTTTGTTGTTTTGGGGGGATTATTTTGTTTTTGTTTTTTTGTCGGTTGTGGGGCTTGAACTCTAGGCCTGGGCAACATCCCTGAGCTCTTCAGCTCAAGGCTTACCGCTTGAGCCACAGTGCCACTTCCGGTTTTCTGGTGGTTAATTGGAGATAAGAGTCTCATGGACTTTCTTGCCCAAGCTGGCTTTGAACCATGATCCTCAAAGCTCAGCCTCGTGAGTAGCTAGGATTACAGGCGTGAGTCACTGGCATCTGGCTTCATCCCGTTTTTTGAGACCTACTGTTTTCTGCACTTTACACTCTGAGTACACACAGCAACATTCCATGAGGTAGTTTACTGAGTGTACTACTACTGAAAATGCTGAGTATTCAGACACAGGGCTGCCCAGCTCAAAGCTGGTTTATTCACTTGAAAAGTCTGCTTCCGTAGTAACTTTATGTGTTGGACTGTTGCTACACCTTTACATGAAAGTGAGGCACCAGTGACTTACACCTGTAATTCTACCTACTTAGGAGATGAGACTGGGAGGGTTGCAGTTTGAAACCAACCCAGACAAAAAATTGCGAAACCCTATTCCCTTTGCTTATCACCAGTCTGAACTCTGCCTCATACTCACTTGGCTTTTCTTACTGGGCTGGTGCTCTATCCACTTGAGTCATGACAGCTATTTGATGGTTCCTTTGGAGACCAAGTTTTTTGTATGTTTCTGCCTGGCCTGGTTCCAAGCCTGGATCCTCTGGATCTCAGGCTCCTGAGTAGATAGCATTACAGGAGTGAGCCACCAGTGCCCAGCACCCCATCTCATCTAATAGATGGTACACACCTGTCATCTCAGGCATATGAGAGGCCGAAATTGAAAGGAACAAAAGAAAAGAGTGGGCATGGTAATGTGTACCTACCATCCCAATTTTGACAATGAGGAAATTAGAGGATTGCAGTTGGGGCCAGCTCCAGAAGAGAGAGACACTATCTTAAAAAAACAAAACAAAAAAACAAAACAAAACAGAGCAGCAGGGCGCCGGTGGCTCACGCCTGAAATCCTAGTTACTCGTGAGGCTGAGATCTGAGGATCATGGTTGAAAGCCAGCCTGGGCAAGAAAGTTGTGAGATTCTTATCTCCAATAAACCACCAGAAAACTGGAAGTGGCGCTGTGGCTCAAGTGGTAGAGTGCTCACCTTGAGGGCCAGCGCCCAGGCCCAGAGTTCAAGCCCTACGACTGACAAAAAAAAATAAAACCAGCAAAAAAGGACTGGAGGCATGCATGCCCAAAGCAATAGAGCATCTGCCTGGTAAATCTTGGTGCCACCCTCCACCCAAAAGCTATGCTGAGTCCTGTTCATTGTACCCTATAATTTACATATCAAATTTTATAATTGTGATCTTAGTACCATAAGAGAAGGAAAGAGAATAAGAGTCAGTTCATCATACATAGTCTTAGATGAAAAACATCAGAAGATAATCAGATACTAATTGAACTGGTCCTTTTTGTTTACTTTAGGTTTCAGTTCTTCAGTCTACAAAGGACTCTGCTAAAAAGATATGTGTTGCTAATACCCATCTTTACTGGCATCCAAAAGGTAAGTTTTGTTCTGTTTCAAAAGTAATGCTAAAGCTGTGAGTTTGTTTGTTTTTTTGAGACAGATTTTTACTATGTAGACCAGGCTGGTCTGGCATTTGTAATCTTCATGTCTTGGCCTCACAAGTGCTGGGATTATAGGTACACCACCATCCTTGGCTCTGTACACATTTCTCCAGTGTCACCCAGAAGCTTGTGACTTAAGCTGCTGAAGGTGTTCTACACAAGTCCGTATTTCAAGTATCACCCAAATAGTTTGACATGTTTTTGTTTTGATTTGTTTTTGACACAATAAGTACTTACATTAATGATATTTTTTTTATATTCATAGGTGGGTACATTCGACTCATTCAAATGGCTGTAGCTTTGGCTCACATTAGACATGTCTCATGTGATCTGTATCCCGGTATACCAGTTATATTTTGTGGGGACTTTAATAGTACACCATCAACAGGAGTATATCATTTTGTCATCAATGGCGACATTGCAGAGGATCATGAAGACTGGGCTTCCAATGGGGAAGAGGAAAGATGCAACATGTCTCTTACACACAGCTTTAAACTGAAGAGTGCTTGTGGTGAACCTGCTTACACAAATTATGTGGGTGGCTTTCATGGATGTCTAGATTACATTTTCATTGACTTAAATGCTTTAGAAGTTGAACAGGTGATTCCATTACCTAGCCATGAAGAAGTTACCACCCACCAGGCCTTACCTAGTGTTTCCCATCCCTCTGATCACATAGCAATTGTATGTGATTTAAAATGGAAGTAGATTTCTGTTTGGTGGAATTGATTTTAAGTCTGAAAAGGAAGTAATTTGCTTTGCAGAAAATCTGAACCAAGTCTTACATGTAACCTTCAAAGAGGAAATCCAGACATTAAGGTAAAACTACATGTTTCTTCCCTACTAGTTATGTTCCAGTCTTTGTTATAAGACCCTCATAATGTTTGCGTCGTATAGTTTCTCTCTGCCTTTTTTAATTTCATAAACTTGGAGTAAAAACAAATGTATTTAGGACTAGCAAGAAGAAAACTGAATTATTGTGTAAACTTTTATAAATTTTTTTTAGCTGGCAATTAAGAATTTTATAAGTACCATTCAAAGGATCTTATCATTTTTTTTTCATAACTCATTTCACATTGAATTATGTTCTTATAATTAGGGGGAGAAAACATACAGGTTAAGGTGAGAAACCTAAGTTCTGATACATGAAATATTAGGGTCTACTTCTACCTCAATTTGGTTAGGAATTTACTACAATTTCAGAGCTTTAACAAAAGATTGAAATATACAATCACTCTTTGCTATTGCTTCTTTTTCAACTAACAATATTTTCATTCACTTGTAGTATATTTTGCTTCTTAATGCACTTTATATTCTCCTTCATATTACAGCTCATTTTATTTTTTAAGTCTCCAAGCACAATTTAGTATTCAGATTAGCAGCATAATCAACTCAAATCACTCTCACTTTTGCTTATGAAAACTGTTCATAAATCAACAGGGTATTTGACCATAAGATGCTGGGGGCTGTAGCAGAATACATTATTTTTTTTTAAGTTTTTTACTGATAGAAGCTTAAAACCTGGATGAACCACTGAGCATTTCTCTGTTCGAAGTATTTGCAATTGTCAGTTTTTATAAATAGGAAGAAGAGTAAAAGGAATGTTGGCCACATCTGAAATAAGAAACTTTTTCTTACAGACTTGAGCAATCTAGTATGAGTTCCAGAACATCACTATATATAATTCATATATGTAAGAGAGAAATATGAAGCTAAAATTTTTTAAATTAGAAATTTCACTTGTCCAGAGGACAAACATTAAAATATTTGTCATTATATTTGTAGTGCTGTAGCTTTTTCTTTTTGTTATTTTTCAGGATAACTTATTTTCCTGCATTTTAATTTCAAGCTTATTAAGAGCCTACTAATCTCAAACACTATGATTTTTCCATGGAAGCCCTTGTTTCAAATTCTTTAATGTCAAACCCAATACCATAAGAACTATCCAGTTTTTAATGAGTCTTTCCTTCGTATTCTGTTGTCACCATACATTGTTTACACTTGATGTAAATTTAAGAGTGAAATAGTTTTACACGCACTTCACAAGGATATATGAAGGGAAAGATTAAAGTGGCAATTCTTGGAATCTTGTTTAAAAGAAGCTTATAAATGGGGCTGGGAAGGTGGCTCAGTGGTAGAGCGCTTGCCTTGCATGCATGAGGCCCTGGGTTCAGTTCCTCAGCACCACATAAGCAAAAAGAAAAAAGCCAGAAGTGATGCTGTGGTTCAAGTGGTAGAGCACTAGAATTTAGCTGAGGAGCTGAGGGACAGCACCCAGGCCCAGAGTTCAGGCCCCACAACCGGACCCCCCAAAAAAAAAATTTATAAATGAGAAAAATTGACGATACCAAATTGTGCCTTCTTAAATCTGTCCCCTTCCTCCTTGGTGCTGGGGATTGATCCCAGGGCTTTTACCACAGAGCTACATCCCAGTCCCCCAAAACATTTTCATTTTTTTAAAACATTTAACTGTAATTTATAAATATGTAAATAGAGCCAGAACCTGATTCTTTTGCAGAAAGACTATTTTTCTCCTGTTTTTAGTGGTGCTGGGGATTGAACCCAGGGTCATAAGCATGCTGAACATACATACTACATGAAGCTACATGACTTGCCTTTTTTTTCCTTTCTAAAATTGGTTTTTGGAGTTGGAGGTGTGGCTCAGTTGGTAGAGCACTAGCCAGTGAGCAAATGTGTCAGGTATCTAGTTAAGAGTCCTAATATCAGACCTAAAAATAATAAATAAAATTGGTTTTGGTCAGCTTTCAGACAAACATCTTGACAAACCGAACCCTTATAGTAACTTGGTTTTGGCCAGCTTTCAGACAAACATCTTGACAAACCCTTATAGTAACTTGAGAAAAACAATGGTAAGTTTCTCAGCAGGAAGTTGAAAAATGCTTTGAATGAAATATAACCTAAGATGATTCTCCTTGCTTGTGAAAAAAGTATCCTGATTTTTAATACCAAGGTTGTCTTAATTGAACTCTGATCAGAAAAACTAAGCCTTTTTTTTTAATTGTGAAAATACCGTACAGAGGGGTTACAATTATATGGGCAAGATAATCTAAGCCCTTTTCAAACAGCACTTAAGTTTGATATTTCCTGATTAAACAGTATAATCAGATTATATGTAAGTATTTCAGGATACTTCAATAAGTTGAGATGTTATTCTGAAGTGCTCATATACTTTTTTAGGGGGAGGAGATTCTTTTTTAATTCTTATTATAAAGGTGATGTACAGAGGGGTTATAGTTATCTAAGTCAGGGAATGAATGAGTACATTTCTTTTTGGACAGTGTTACCTCTTCCCACTCTCCCAGTCTTTTCCATTCCCACTCCTACTTTTTTTAAAAAAAAAATTTGTTATAAAGGTGATGAACGAAGGGGTTACAGTTAAGTCCTGTAAAGAGTATTTTTCTAGAGCTGGGTGCCGGTGGCTCACGCCTGTAATCCTAGCTATTCAGGAGGCAGAGATCTGAGGTCGCGGATCAAAGCCAGCGCTGGCAGGAAAGTCTGTAAGACTCTTATCTCCAATAAACCACCAGAAACCCAGAAGTGACGCTGTGGCTCATGTGGTAGAGCACTAGCCTTGAGCTAAAGAGCTGAGGGACAGCACCCAGGTCCAGAGTTCAAGCCCCAGGACTGACCAAAAAAAAAAAAGTATGTTTCTTTTTGTATAATGTCACCCTTTCCCTCTCTCCCCCCCAGTTTTTACCTACCATTGTTATATAGTTGATTTTCAACATAATGTGTATGAGTATCACTGCTGTATTTGTTCACCTTTGTCCCTCCATTTCTGTGCCCCCTCCCTTACTCTCCTAAAAATAGATAAATGAACAAATTTCCTGGAGTTCATTTCTATAAATACATGATCAGATGCACATCCCACTCATACACTCTTCAGTCTCAGCATACATATATGCTAGAATGATTAGAGTCCAAAGATAGGGAACACCAAGAAAATTGGTATACCAAAATTCCCTTGTCATTCATAAGGGTAGAATGTTATTGAGAAATATTTAAAGCTATCTTTTGAGTTTTCCTATTAATTGGAATTTTTAGTATTTAATAAGGGAGCTCTAGCAGCCTTTTGTGTTCTATCAGATTTTATACACATTCACAAATTCTTGCTGAAAAAAATTTCAGGTATTTATATTGATTATAAAATGAGTAAGAACATTTTGGACCATGTTAACTCTGCTAAAAGCAACTCTTACACAGTTGCCACTATAAACATGTACACTGATAGTTAAATCATTAGCAAAACAAAATTTCTGGCTACAGTAGTTTTTTTTTTTTTTTAAGTCCTGAATACTTAAATCATTAGTTGGTATTTCTAAGAATTTCCTAGGAGCACTAAGGTACAGTCTTACCTCAAAGTGCTGGCTTCATACACAGGTGTATGGGTCTCTGAGCTTAATATAAGGAGCAATGGTCAGAATACTACTGTGAGAGTTCAGTTCCCTGATGAAAATGGACATCTTTACAGCTCATTTTGCCTAGTTGTGAAATATAGGCAAAAGTTCCCTACACAGTATTTAAGACAAACCTATATATAAGGTAAAAGTTTTAACTATTAGTTTTCATATAACTCATTAGAGAAAATCCTCTGAAAAATGGCCTGCATTCATTGAATTTTCAAGCAGTTCAGAAACACGCAAATATTTTGGGGGGTTGTTTTTGTTTTTGCTTTTTTTGTCAGTTGTGGGGCTTGAACTCTGGGCCTGGGTGCTGTCCCTCAGCTTTTCTGCTCAAAACAAGCGCTGTACCATTTGAGGCACAGTACCACTTCCAGTTTTCTGGTGGTTAATTAGAGATAAAAGTCTTACAGGCTTTCCTTCCGGAACTGGCTTTGAACTGTGATCCTCAGATCTCAGCCTCCTGAGTAGCTAGGGTTACAGGTGTGAGCCACCAGCACCAGGCTTGTTTTGAAATTTTTAATATTTCTCTAAATATAGTACTTACAGGAAGTACTGTGTAGATCTCGGGGAAGTAATTTTAAGAGCTTTAACTGATAAGCCAATTTCTGCGGACAGCTTTATAAGAGAGGGTAACATTTTCAGTATTGAAGATGTTAAGCCTGTATTAACTTGGGTTATGTTTTACTAACACTGACACCAAAATAACACACTTTGAAATGACACCAAAATATTGAGACAGAACTCACATAAAATTAACTGGTTTAATGTGTACAATCCAGCTTCATTTATACATTCACCACAGTGTACAACTATCTAGTTTTAAACATTTTAGATAGCCTTTGCCCATGAAGCAGTCCTGTTTCTTCCTCTCCTAGCTTATGTCAAATACTGATCTGCTTTCTGCCTTTGGATCTACTTGTATTAGATATTTCATATAAATGGAATCTGTATACCTTTTCCATCTGGCTTTCATCCTATTAAAATATATACTAGCACTTCCTCCCTTTTTAAGGCTGGATAATATTTTACTGCTATCTAAATTGACCAATTGTTTCCACCTTTTGACTGCCATAACTGGTGCTGCTATGAACATTTTTGCACAAGGTTTTGGTCTGAACATCTATTTTCAGTTCTTTTGGGTATATACCTAAGAGTGGATTTAGTAATCTACTCATATGGTAATTTTCTAACCATTTGGAAAATGTAAAATGACTGCACTATTTTACATTTCAGTTGTACAAGTTTCCATTTTTCTCGACAATCTCACTTATTTTCTATCTTTTCAAATAACCATCTTAATGACCATGAAATGACATATTAACACATCTTTACCTCATTTAGTTGAAGTAATTAGTCGTCAGCAAGATTATTTACAGTGGTTTACCCAACCACATTTTGTTAGAGCCCCCCTTCCACAAGTCTTTAACAAAGATCAGTCTCATTGCTTCCTTTGAAGAAAATTAGGAATAGAAAAGTCCCAAGAACACTAAACTAAACCATAAAAAGCCTGTTTTTTTTTTAAAGTGACCTTAGAAATGTGAATCTACTTCAGTGATTTGAGAGAAAACCTGTTGGCTAACTGGCTTTTAATTTACAGATGGTCTCTGTAAATTACAGTTTAGGTAGACAGTAGCTTAAGTGTTCTGAAGAGGTGGCTGTGGCTAATTTTGTGAGATCAAAAAAGATTTAAGCTGCCTACTATCAAGTCAGATTTTTAAAACCCTGTATTCAAGATAAATTTTAAAAATAAGTTGTAAAATGTCCATTTAAGTGGCTCAAGCTTTCAATCCTGGCTACTTGAGAGGCACACATCAAGGGATAGAATAGTTCACGACCATTCTGTGCATAAAAGACCTCAAAGACTTCTATCTCAGTGGCAGGGTGCAGTGGTGCATACGTGTTATCCCCAGCAACTTAGAGAAGCACAAATAGAAGGATCACAGCCCAGGGTAAGCAAAAAGGGGTCATGTGTTTTCCTGATAAGCCAGGGAGGGAGCCCTGAATTCAATCTGCAGTACTGCCAAAAAAAAAAAAAAAATGGTAAAAAAAATTTATAACCTAATGACATTTAAATTTTATGTGGAAGAAAAAAATACTAATTGGTCACCTGCAGTATATTAAATCACATCATAGTTAAATAGTTAAAATTACGATAAATATATTAATCCCATCAGTAGCTAGCTGCCACTCTGTAACAGTTCCTGTCCCACCGGATTCATCTACAATAGTAAACCAAGTTGTCAAAAATCTGTGTGCTTGTTGGTTTTTACTTCTATTTACAATTTCCTTGAGAAACTTCAGTCTTCATCTTCTCATTTTACGAA